GTATTCTCTAGCTCGCTGCCTCTACACTCATACTACTGTGCTCGCGGCGGCTCCGGCCGCTCGCACCCCCCCCACCCCCCTACACATGTCTCGACGATCTCCACCGCACCCCATCCCGTAGACACCCGCGATGTATTGCCTACCATAGGGCTCGGCCCTCGAGGGCAATAAACAAGGATACAAAGAAAGAATTGCGATGGCAGGAGCTACGAGATGCAGGAAAGAGCGCGGTGAAGTTTGACGTCGCGTATGGCGGGGCGTTCTACGTCATCGTGCAGGAGAAGGAGCTTGGATTCGAGTGCATCAGGGACGGGGCCAACGTGAAGCGGTTGGACGCGGCTACGGCAACATTGAAGCAGCTAGTGAGCGCGCGGAAGGAGATATTCCGAGGACATGGACTGGCGGCTGACCTCGACTACCTCTACGGGGTGATAGTGGTTGATGAAGGCGAGGGCTGGGTCGGGCTGGGCGGAATGAACGGCGGGAGAGTGGGCGCGTGCTTCTTCGCGGACCAGCAGCTGGACCGTTCGCCGACGGGGTCTGGAGTGTCGGCGCGGGTTGCGCTGGCGAAGGCAAAGGGACTCCTGCGCGACGGCGAGCGCGTCCGGTTCGACTCGCTGCTGTCTGCGCGGCCGGGCGGGGCGGCGGGGGCGTTCGTGGGGAGCGCGATGGCGGGAGGTCGGGTGTTGGTCCAGGGCAGAGCGTTCTACACGGGCGCCTCCGCGTTTGTGGTGGAGGACGCGTTGTCGCGCGGCGGATTCCTCCTCTGACGTAGGGACGACCGATGATGTCATTATCTGCGCGATACATAAACCCCGCTCGAGCGTCGGGGCCCATCCATCGTCGCCCTCCCGTCTTCATTTCTTCGTCACCGCCCACCCAACCTCTTCCTCACAATGTCGTACGCCTCCGTCGCTGCTCACAACGCGCCGCCCCCTTCTCAACAGGTAATTCACCCAACAGACACCCTCCTCCATGGGAAGGCCCTAACCTGATCAACCAGCCCCATGCGGACCAAGGCCTCCTCACCACTGAACCCCCTAGCGCGAACAACATTGCCGATGATGGTGCCAAGGTCAACATCGTCTCCTCCGACTTCAAGAAGCATCCCGCGACTACCACCTCTGTCCAAGACATCCCCGCTGACCTGCCTACGCCGGGCGCACCTAAGGGCGGTCGCAAGAGCAAGGGCCGCCGTTATCTTGACGAGGCAGAGCAGGAAGGCTTCTACCTGTGGAATGTCGCCAAGTACTACATTCTCCAGCCCTCCGTCGCCGGTGGTCTCGTCGGTCTCGGTACGTCTCTAGCATTTTTGTTGCGCGTCGCGTGACTTACTCACGTCCATCGCAGTGAACCTTGGCTTGATTGGTGGCACCGCATACACCTACTACACAAAGCCCCATCTTCGTCGCGACACGCGCGCCATCGCGTCGACTGTCGCCGCCGCTCTTGCGCTCTTCACCGGAGAGGGCTACGCTGCGGAAAAGTACAGCGAGACCCCCCGCGGGCAACGCGAGGCCGAGAAGGCCAAGAAGGAAGGCGCGGCGCTCTACCGGGTCGCCCGTGAGCACATCCTTCGCCCTGGCGTCCTCGGTGGACTTGTTGGCGTTGGTAAGCTATTCGTTGTTGTCAGGATATGTTCAAGATGCTGATCTTCATACCATGTAGTGAACGCCGGTATTCTCGGTGCCGTTGGCTACTTCTCGTACACCAACTGGGACAGGCCTTCTTGGGACAGGCGCACTGTCTCTGCGGTCACTGTTGGCCTGCTCACGCTGTGGACAGGAGAGGGGTAAGCGTATTTCACATGTCATCAGTGTAAAACAAACCTAACATGAGGTCCAGCTACGTTGCAGAGCGGTACCGCACGACTCACCACTAGGTTTTGACTCGTAGCGGCGCGTCAAAACGAAGACGGGACCGAAACTGGAGATAACCACAGGATACAGGACGTTTAGTGTATGACCCTGTACTATACCTCGTAGTCTTATTCTTTCTTTACGCGCTCAATATTCGCAAATATTAAATACGACCTTATGACCACCAGAGATATGCGAGTGAGTCGACAACATGACAGCTGCCCTCAGATCGATAGGCCTGTCGAAAAAACAGTCACGGACAGCGGTTTCAGGCAGCGACACGGGGAGGACATGGATGTACGCGCCTAAGTACGCGCACCTCTTCGCGGTGCTCGCGACCTGCTAGCCACCTCACGCGAAGCGGAGCCGCCGCATCTGGGTGCGAATGCCTCTGTGTATGCTTTGCACGGGGCTATCGATCTGAGAATAGCTGGAAAGAGCCATTAGTGACATAAGTTGAGGAGGGAGTGCTAGGATGGTAGCGCCCATCCAATCTTACCCGATATAGGCATCTGCTTATGTCAGCAGAGGGCGAAACCTAATTTTTTGTGTGCCCACAGCGGCACTCGGCTCAGAGCTGCTGCTGCACATCGTCGACTCAGACACTCCCGCCGCAGGCAATCCTACCCCTCCCTCTCGGCGACTGCACACAAAACAACATCTTCAAGATGTCTAGATTCTTCCGTCAAGCCGGCGATTCCGATTCCGAGAGCTCGTCCTCTGAGGAGGAGGAGCTCATGTCCAGCGACGACGAGGGCGGTGTTCCGAAGGCGGCAGCAGCACCCGCGGCGAAACCAGCGATGTCGCGCTTCCTGAAGAGTGCGGGCGACTCGAGCTCCTCGGACTCGGACTCGTCCGATGAGGAGAGCGAGATGAGCGAGGACGAGGACAAGGACAAGGACAAGCCGCGCGTGGGGCGGTTCCTGCACGGGGCGTCCTCGGACGACTCGGACGACGACACGAAGCGGGTGGTGAAGAGCGCGCGCGACAAGCGGCTCGACGAGATGGAGGCGACGGGCAAGCTGATGGACAATGCGCTGAAGATCAACGACTGGGTCGCGATCTCGACCGGTGCGCCCTTTTTCGTGCTCATAATAATCGGGAATGTCGCCGCACGTCTGGGTGCGGTTCTTACCAGGCGCTGTGTGCAGAGTTCGACAAGCTGGTGCGGATGGTGCAGAGGCAGCAGAACGTGCAGGAGCCCGTGACGCCGTTCTTCCTCCGCACACTGGGAAACCTGGAGACGTCCTTGACGGCGGCAGTGGCGAAGGACAAGGAGTCAAAGAAAAAGATGAACGCGAGCAATGCTCGTGCGCTGACTGCCATGAAGCAGAAGGTTAAGAAGACGAGCAAGGAGTACGAGACTGAGCTCAAGCGCTTCCAGGAGGTGCGCAGGAATGTGATCGTGCTAGCTTAACTGTGCTCACTATTTGTGTAGGACCCTGAGGCCTTTGAGAAGGAGTACACCGCCGCAGTTGCGCCCGAGGTTGTCCCCACACCAGCCCGGGTAAAGAAGCCCAAGAAAGGCGAGGATGAGGAAGATGAGGACTTTACAACCGTGACCAAGGGTGGCAAGGGCATCACCTTCTCGCCCGAAAACATCTTCAAGAATCTCCAGGTAGTCCAGGAGAACCGCGGAAAGAAGGTCAGAATTCATACGAACCGTCATCTCTTTTCTTTTGCTCACGTACCATGCCAGAACACCGACCGCATGGAGCAAATGCGCATCCTTGAAAAGCTGCTCAACGTCTCCGTCACGCCCTACCAGAATATCCGTGTCCTTTTGGCGCTGATTGCCGCCCGCTTCGACTACAACTCCTCGGTGGCCACACACATGCCCCCCGATCTGTGGAACTCCGCGCAGAAGGAGGTCGACCAGCTCATCACGGTTGTGGTGAGCGAGTCGGGGTACTCCATCCAGGAGATCACGGAGGACTACGACGAGCTTCTTGAGCGGTCTCCCGCGACCGAGAAGGATGGCATTGTTCGGGTCCGCGGAAGCGTGATGAGCTTCGTCGACCGTCTGGACGACGAGTTCACGAAGAGCCTGCAGAACATCGACCCCCATGGGACGGAGTATGTCGATCGTCTCAAGGATGAGAAGGTTCTGTACTCCACGATCTGCCGCGCCCAGGCGTTGTATGAGAAGACCAAGCAGGAAGACCCGCTAGGCCGCGTCATCATGCGCCGTCTAGAACACATTTACTCGAAGGTAAGATACGTACCTCACTTAGTCTGGAACGTCCCTCACAACGCATCGTTCAGCCCGATCCCGTTGTTGTTGCGCTCGAAGCCAGCATTGCCACCTCAGAAATCAAGCCCTCCATCGTCATCGCCGCCGATGGCGAGACATCCTCCCTCATCCACTCCCTTTGCATCCACCTATACAAGTCCGGCAACTCCCTCCTCCGTACCCGCGCCATGCTCTGCCACATCTTCCACTACGCCCTCCATAACGACTTCCACACAGCTCGCGACATGCTGCTCATGTCACATTTGCAAGAGTCGATCCACAACGCCGACGTCGCCACCCAGATCCTGTACAACAGGACAGTCGTACAGCTCGGTCTGAGCGCATTCCGGTGCGGCCTTATCAAGGAGGCACAGGCAACCCTTCAGGACATCTTCGCGACGCAGCGCGTGAAGGAGCTCCTTGCCCAGGGCGTCCACCAGCAGCGGTACCAGCAGGTACTCTCACCCGAGCAGGAGAAGGCAGAGCGCCAGCGCCAGCTGCCCTTCCACATGCACATCAACACGGAGCTCCTCGAGGCGGCGTTCCTCGTCTCGAGCATGCTCGTCGAGATCCCCCTCCTCGCCAGCATCGATTCGGAGGAGCAGCGGCGCAAGGTGATCTCGAAGCCGTTCCGGCGGTTGCTCGACTTCGCGGACCGGCAGGTGTTCACGGGCCCGCCCGAGAGCACGCGCGACCACATCATGCAGGCGAGCAAGGCGCTGCAGAACGGCGAGTGGGAGAAGTGCCGGGACCTGATCCAGAGCATCAAGATCTGGAGCCTGATGCCCGAGTGCGCGACGGTGAAGGAGATGCTCGCGAAGCGGATACAGGAGGAGGGCCTCCGCACGTACCTCTTCACGTACGCGCCGCACTACCGCACGCTCGCGCTGTCGCTCCTCGCGCGCACGTTTGCGCTCCCGCTGCGCGCGGTCACCTCGCTCGTGTCGAAGATGATCTGGAACGAGGAGCTCGAGGCGTCGCTCGACCAGTCCGCGGGCGTCGTCGTCTTCAACCGCGTCGAGTTCACGCGCACACAGCAACTAGCGCAGACGCTCGCAGACAAGGTGAACGCGCTCGTCGAGCAGAACGAGAAGGCGCTCGACCAGAAGCTCGGCATCAGCTCGAGCTGGAACGAGCGCGCGGAAGGCGGCAAGGGCGAGAAGCGCGGCGAGCAGACGGAGGGGCGGAACCGCCGGGGCGACCGCAGAGGTGGCGCACGTGGTAAGTCATCGCTCGCTGCAGGGGCCACCGTCGATACTCATCATCGCGTTTTTGTAGGCGGCGCACGGGGAGGACGTGGTGCGCGGTTCGCGCAGGGTCTTGGGTCTCAAATGGCAGGAAACACCCAACGAAACCGATAGACACGCACGGGACGGGTTTCGGTCTGTCTCTTCATGCCGCCATGAATTTATGTTTCTTTTGTTACTGCTCTGCGCTCGCATGTCGCCGTCCGACTGTACTGTTGTACTCTTGTGTCACTAGCATACATGCAGCATATATGAACTCTTCTTCCTATCTTGCACTTCTCTATATAGTACGCGTGATCGTCCGTCTACTCGCTCTCCTCGGTGGAATCATCCGACGCCTCCTCGCTGTCCTCGTCCGACTCCTGGTCTTCGGAGGTGTCCTGCGCCGTCCAGTCGGACGTCTCGAGCTTCTCGTTCCGCGCCGTCTCTACACGACGCAAAATATGAATATATGCGGTGCAAAGGCTGCGCGATCGACTTACCACCAGCGCCGACCTCGTATCCCGGCTGGGTCACGCAGCGCGAGAGCTCCGCCTTCGCGCCCACCTTCGTGTACGTCCCCAGAATGCAGCCCTCCAGCTTTGCCCTGCGATATGCACACGTTAACGGGCGACTCTCCCCCCTCATCCAACCGGAGCACTCACCCGTCCGCCACGACGCAGTGGTCGAGCAGCACGCAGCCCACCACGCGCGCCATCTTGCCGATGACGCAGTGCTTCCCGACAACGGAGCGCTTGATCGTCGCGCGCTCCTCCACGCGCGTCGAGCGGCCGACCATCGAGTCAGCCGAGATCTGCGCCTTCTGGTCGATGAGCGCGCGGTTCTCGGGGTCAGACGGGAGCGCGTATGTCGTCTGGCCGAGGAACTGCGGGGAGGCACAGTCGGTCACCGAGGCGGGGACCGAATTGGGCAGGGTGGACTCACGAAGCGGTTCAGTTCTAGGTACGCGTGGAGGTTGTTCGCGCGGGACGCGAAGCCGGCGTCGGAGCGGTGTGTGACGAGCCCTACGCGCAGACTGGGCTCGACGGACTCTTCGTCGTCGTCTTCTACTGGTGACGGAACTACCGAGCGCAGGTGCTCGTCGCCGTCCTCAGAGCCGGCCGCCGATCGCCGGACGTGTTGTTTGCGCGACGGTGTATGCAGGGTTGAGTGTTTGAGTGCCAGTGCCTGGGATAGGCTGTTTGTCACTGGATTGAGCACTGTTGACCGCGCGAATGAGTAATAGGATCATAGTGATAGAAGAGCATGATCGGTTGAAATGAATTCAGGGCTTACCGTTTCCGTACTTCTCCCGCCGCGTTTTCTGGTATTGTGGCTTGCATAGCCATGGGATGAACTCTTCTCTCAACGAGTCGAAGTGGCTTTTCTGATGAAGCACATCCAATACAGTCCTCCTGCACACGTAGACGTGGGAGTCTCTGAAGCTGGAGGAGAGCTTGGTTCGAGGATATCTAGTAGTCGGCGAGATGAGGTCCCGCACCGAAACAGTGGGAGCAGCGAATGGATGTGGCTTACTGCGACAATAGACTCATCCGGACCAGGAAGTGCTCGTTGTTGATGTCTATATCGTCCGGCGTATCCACGTGAAGTAGAGTTCCTGTCCGCTCATCGAAAACGATGGGCGTGTTCACCGGAAGCATGCCCCAATCCTCCGTGACGCTACCCTTATCAGGCTTTCCCGCCTCATAGAAACATGCAGTGGCGATAGCCCCCTCGTATGTCGACTCCGTTCGGAACCGGTTCAGCAGTTGACTAAGCGAGAGCGAGGGTGGCGGGACGAAATCGCAAGGGAGGACGACGAAGTCCGACTTGATACGCGACGAGAAATGTCGGAGGAGTGTGCATGTGCCCGGAGCCATGTCTTGTGATTCTTCAAACGTCTGAAGGTCGATGCGGAGAGAGGGCAGGTGTGAAGAGACGCCAGATTGGACGTAATTTGACATTGCGGAACGTTGGGATGTTGGACAAATGAGCAGGACGTCTGCCCCGCAATGAGCTGCGTACAAAACACAGTATTTCAGATCGTACCAGTGATTCCTGACTGCTCCAGCCACGCAAGTGGATATTCCAGCATCGGCCTGTTCCCGATCGGTAGCAGCGCCTTTGGACATGGTTCATCGCCGTGATTGTTTGTCAAAGGCAGCAATCTGGACATCGGTCAGCGTCACAACTGTGCACTCGCACAAAGTCCTCACTCGTTGCCGAAGCCGGCGAGGACGACGGCGAGGAACTCGCGGGTGAGGATTTTGCTTGTGGATGACTCGTCGAAGTCCATGGTCGCGGTAAAGGTACAAGGTGCAATCACATCTAGGCGCCCAGATCACCCTCCGAGAAACTCGGAGTCGGTCAAGCGATCTCGAATCTCGATTAGTCTCGATTACCGGCAAGTCGCGCTTGTACTTTATAAGAGCCTCCCGCGGGAATCACACCGACAGGAGACTTCCATCGCGCGCGAGCCTTCTCCAGAAAACGCTTGCCTCCTCATATCGGTCTCTCAGCAATGCCTACCGTCACGACCGACGGATTCCTCCCGTTTCTCGATATGATGGAGCAACTGAAGCCTTCCCTCGTGCACGACATACATCTCCTGTCGTGAGTACTGATGCTCCCATCCATGGTTCACGCCGCTGACGTCCTTGTGTTGTAGTCGCGACGAGGTATACGCATCTTGTCACTGGTCTTCCAACAGCACTTACACTGACTTGTCTCTGGTAGCAATGGTCGGCGATCCACATCATGACGTACGCGATCTCGAAGATCAAGTCCAACTTGAACGCGGACATGCCGGTCTGCAAGCTTCCTCCAGAGCTGCTCACGCTCGTATTCGAATACGCCAGTTTCCGCGACCAGCGATATGCTCTTCGCAACTCCGTTCGAAAGGTCCAGGGCCATGGCGCGCCCGCTACGGAGCCGGCATACCACAGGCTCCTCCCCATTACGCACGTCTGCCGGATGTGGCGAAATGTTGCGCTCGCTGCCGCCCACTTGTGGACATGCATCAGTTACGGCCGGAAGGAGAGAGCCGACACCTTCATTCACCGTTCTCAGGCGGCGCCTCTCTCCATTACCGTCTTTGGGGCGACTAAATCACACCTAGAGCGAATATTCGGGAGCAGTGGTTCTCGACTGCAACGACTTGATATTGGGCACGACCGCAGACTCTTTTTACCGAGCACGGGGGTCGGCAGCTCTCGCCTTGAATGCGTCACCGTAGCGGCGAATTCAACGCATATTGACGCGGCGGCGTTCGAGCAGTCCGTATCGACCTTAAAAGGCGTAGCCCTTTGCCTCGGGGAAGGTCACTGGGTGCCGAGCGCACACTTCCCCAACCTCACACACCTCCTCTTGGGCAGTTGCTTCGGTTCGGTGTATTGCGATTTGCTAACCCTGGCGCGACTCTCATCATTGCTGGTCGAAACTCCTCGGCTTCAATATCTTCATCTGTCCCGCCTTCCCTCGGCGCGTTCCCAGCCTAATACCTTGAAACCGGCGTCGCTCCCTCATCTCAAGCTCTTCTTATGCACGTCTTGTGACCCTGACACCTCACTTCATTTACTTTCCTCGTTGATATTACCCGCAGAGGTGTTCGTGGCTTTGGATAGCCATTCCAATTATCATGCTTCCTTGGCGTCAATGGAGCTGTTCCAGCGTCACCAACTGCAGGATGGAGACTGGATGCAAAGCTTGACTCGCCTCGAATGCACTATCTCCCGTGATACTCAGTGGGTTGTCGCGGAAGGCCACCGTTCGGGGCTCTGGTTCAAATGCGCCGATGGCCTCCGGTTCGGCCGCCTCCAACCCATGTTTCCCTTCGGATCCGTTCGCGCACTCGACTTCTTCGCCGAGCACGATTACCGTTTTCCCCTCCGGCACCAACACCAGCTGCAGGACATCCTCCGCAATACATCCTCTCTAGTATCTCTACGCTTCCCCGCAGCTTCCACCAAACCCACATCTTCTGAAGAAAGCTGCACGTCATGCTGCGCTCTGGACGACAAGCTGCTCCTCCCGCTCCTCCCTGATGGCTCGGATGGGCGTGCTTCGGTTCGCTGCCCCCTTCTCACCATGCTGTGCATCGAGGCACCTCTGGCAGAGCAGCTCGAAAGACTAGCTCCCCACATCGCCGAGGTGCTGGCCGCCCGCGCTAGCGCAGGCGTCCCACTCAAATCTGTGACCCTACGCGTCCCGCAGCGCATGCACACTGGCGAGCCTCTTCGTCGCGAGGCGTTCGACACCGCGGCGCGCTATGTGGAGGACTTACAACTCGAATTCGGGGTGGATGGGCCGGGCGAGCTCGCGACGCATGGCACTTACTGGGGCACCGAGCTGTCGATGGAGGCGGAGAAGTACTGGATCACGCCGGACGGCATGGCGCCGCGGTGGTTTAGGTCGTCGATGTGAGTGCTGATGCTCTTCACCCCCCAGAATTTTGTAATAGCTAACAGGTCCCTTTAGTGAGGACTTGTGATCCCCAGATTCCTCAAGTTGAATGTTGAAAAGAAGTGTGTGCGGACGGCTTCGAATGTGTACTGCTAGTACTCTGCGGACAAGGTACAATCATATATGCTCTGTGTAGACGACCTACATGTATGCAATATCAATCCCTCGTGGTGTAACAATAGTATATCCTCCCTGATTACAACTACTTTAAGCCAGACGGAGTGCAACTGGTGAAACTCATATGAAGACGGACGCAGTATATAAGCCAGCGGTGGCGCGACAGAGTCCGCCGGAATGGTGCTATTGGTACTAGTGAGCTGCATTACCCTCACTCTCTTCGTGACTTAGACGAGCTGCTTACACGTCAACTAGTACATAACTCGGAAGGCTCTGGACCTGCAGGAGGAGTCGGTAATCACGTCGCGGCGCGTCGGGTCGAAAGCATTTAGACGCCGACGCGACACCGCGGTCACGTGACCCCAGTGAACGAACCAAATGAAGGGGGCGCCGCGTGCCAGGCCGCTTAGCTTCAGCCACGAACTTGTCCTCCGCGTTCGCGATCTCTCGCTCTCTCCATCTGCACCACCTCCTGAACCTCTTCTACGAGCTTGACAAACACAGTTTCCACAGTACATGCCTGCTAAAGCCCCCGTAACATCCATTGAGGTCAGTCTTTTTCTCTGCGAGGTTTCTACCCGTCGGCCGTCTAACGTCGAAGACAGTGCACCTCCCTCGTCCACCTCCACGATGAGCTCGCATCTGTGCAAGATGCCGTTTCCCGTACGGAGACTGAGGAGACCTGGGAGGCTATCGCTCGTGCTCTCTCCCGTTTCGCCGCCCTCTGCAATGGGAACGCCGCGAAATACCCATCCGACCTAGTCGCCGCCCTCCGCGCCTCCTCGCGCCCCATCAACAGTGCCCTCATCTCGGAACGCACAAGACTCTCTGGCACTGCGACAGACTTTATCTCCGCTGCGGTGAGCGCATTGGATCGCTCGTTTGAGCCCCTCCTCCCCCAGTACTTCCCCACCCTCCTCACGGTATGCACGCGCGCGAACAAGGTGTTCGTCAATCGCGGGAAGGGCTGCATCCACGCCGTCATTGAGTACACCCAGAGTCCCGCTATCCTCCACTATCTTGTCGAGGCCGTCAAGGACAAGTCTGTGTCTCTCCGACTCGCCGCTTCGGAAGCGGTTATGCTCTGCCTCAACACCTTCAACCCGCCTGATCTGGAGAAGGAGGCGCGCGCGAAGGATATCGAGGCAATCATCAGGGCGACTGCCGTGGATGCGAATGCGGACGTCCGCAAGGTGTCTCGTAAGATATTCGATGCATACAAGATCCTACTCCCAGGCAGGGTGCAAAGGTGCGTGCCGTCCTTACGGACATAATGCAAACATCTTACACGCGGCCAGTTTTACTACTCCCCTCACGCCTACCATCCGCAAGTACCTGGACATCAAGGAGGGCGCCGTCATCCGTTCCCAACCGCCGAGCCGCCCCGCATCCTCGCAATCCACCCGTTCCGTAAATAGTGACGTCGTCGCGCCGTCGCACGCGACTTCGTCTCGGCCTCATCACCCCTCCAACCCGACTGCTGCAACGGCGACGACCGCCGTACGCCCTTCCGCACACGTCCGCACCATTTCCACCTCATCTACAACCGCGGCGAAGCGACCGATACGTGCGCCCACTCCCGAGGTCAGCGCTCCACCTCCGCCTCCACAGAACCCCGCTCGTCGTGCCCGCGAAGAGCCCAGGCGGGTGGCGAAACTTGACATGCTTCCGCCAGATTACATCCCCACGCATTCCGGCCCACAGCGGCCGCTCTCCGCGACCGACCTTTACTTCCCGCAACACCCGCCTCCGGAGAGGGTGCAGTCCGGGCCACAGCGAGTTGCTCTTGCAGACACGGCGGCCAGCTCCTCCAGGACGACGAACACTGTCCGCTCTGGACCGATCAGGCCGGTGATGATGCCTATGAAGTCCTCTTCGGGAGACGGCGCCGAGGTGAAGGAGCGTCCTACTGGCGGTGCGCGACGCGTGCTTCGACTTCCTGACGCGGAGGAGGCACCTCAGCCAGCTGAAGGGAAACCGAAGACGACATCCGGGCCTATACGTCCACGGGTCATCTCAACCAGCCAGTCAACGCCGGCAGTACCACAGCATGCAGCAGTGGCGGCCGCGAAGGAGCGCGACGAGGCATTGAAGGCGAAGAAGCTTGCATCCTCACACGGCGCAGGGTCTTCGGCGAAGGGCGCCGTAGCCACTGCGACAGCGGTAGCGGCGGCGCGACACGCGAGAACGGCGTCTGGAGGCGTACAGACAACTACGGCGAGTGCACGTGCGCGGGCAGCTGAGAAGGTGCAGGAGAAGGAGAAAGAGCAGGCGCCTGCTATGTTGCGGAAGCTGAGTTCCAGGGCGGTGCCATCGTCGAAGGCCGCTGTACCCCCTCGTCCTGGAGCTCCTGGTGCAGCGAGTGTCACGGTGCGAGAGAAGCCTCGTGCCGTGTCGGGTACGAAGGCGGTTGCGCCTCCTTCAAAGCCTGTGACGAAGGACGGAAAGGTGGTCAAGCCAGGCGTCAAGTCTCGCGCGGGCACGCAAGAGCCACCGTCGAGGGCGCAGAGCGTGTCTCCCTCCGAGGTGCCGCTGCCGGAGTCACCCAAGGCTGGAGCTCAAGTGCTGCCGCCGGATGTCCCTCAAGAGGTCACGGGCCCCGCCCTCAAAGTAGAGCAGCCGATTGTCGAGGTAGCTACAACACCAGAACCAGAACACACCTCAACATCGGACGAGGCCGAGGTGCGGAGTCCGCCCGCTACTACGCCAACGCCAGAGGAGCAACAATCGGAAGAGCCTCTCATCGACTTCAGCTCTCCGCCTCCTGCACCCGCAGGTGTTCCTCTCCCTGCTTCCAACCCAGAATCCCCTTCAGAGAAACCCGTCTCCCCATCTCCCGAGGTCGAAGCCTCCACCCCACCAACAGCACCAGAGCCACTTCCCTCCATCCCGCCCTCGGATTACCTGTCGCTCCCGCCACCAGCACAAGAGATTGAGGCACGGACACCCGAGCAACAGCGCGTGCAGCCGCACGCCATGGTCGCGCAAACCCCAATCTCCGCGCTCGTCGAGTCGATCGAGCGCGGGTTCTTCGCGATGCGCGGCGTGCCCCTCTCGCCGATGCGTGAAGAGGAGAGCGAGGACGAGAGCATGCTCGTCGCGGACCCACAAGATGCGGACCCGGACGCAGCGGTGTTTGACGACCCGGCGGCGGCGCCCGGGAGACGGGTGGTTGAGCCGTTGTTTGCGCGGCGGAGTCGGCAGCCGCTGCAGGCGTGAGTGACGGGTGGACGCGGTGAGGGAAAAGGGGGGGGGAGATGCTTCCGAGAATGTGCGACACCTTACCTTGCCTGATATCGCCTGCCGTGCCTTTTGCTGTCGTATTGCTTTGCGCTGTGCCTTATGCACAGCGGAGTCGTTTGTAGGATACTATAGCCTTGCAAGTGCATATGCATTACCTTCTATGAAGGAACCTGTTGCCAGCCTGCGCGTGTCTGACGCTCTATTTGAAGCATATATGCTACTTGCTAGCAGCATGCAAGGGTCTAAGGAAGAGGGCGCGCGGTCTTTGAACCTTGTCGATGTTGATACGAGCTCACTGCTTCACCGTGATGAGCTCGTGAAACCGCATTTGTTTCGTGAACAGACGTGTCTTCCGCATGTCCGGCGATATGACAGGTTTTGGCACGCTTGTGTACGTGACGGCGCTGTATTATGCAAGAGTAGAGGTAGAGCCGACATGTAAAACTGGTCGCAATGGAGGTAGTTTTCCGAGTGATACCCTACGACTACGACGTCTAGAAGCACTGCGACGTATTCGTGTCAATGAACAGAGCGAGGGTGACATATTAAGCACTCACCTAACCCCTCCGGTCAGTGCGACAGGAAAAGCCTGCCCTTGGCGGCCCTCCTGGCGAGCATCTTGCGCCCGTTCACGCTCCGCTTGCGGACAAGGAAGCCGTGCTTGCGCTTGCGTTTCCGCTGCGAGGGCTGGTACTCCTGGCCCTTGGTGTTGTGCCGCACCTGGACGAGCGGGGAGAAGACGGAGGGGAGGCTGAGACCGAGATTGAAGCGCGAGACGAGCGACCTGAGCGGGAGCAGAGATGACGACGCGATGGAGGGGGGAAGAATAGGCCTCAGCGGGGTGAAGGAAGAAGACCAGGAGGGGGAGGAGGTCGCGGCACGCGGAATGACCGTCCTTGCGGCCAGTGTTGGCGGACGAGCGAGGAGGCGAGCGAGCGAGGGTGATATGCGCGGCATGGTGCGTTTCTACTGTAGGTATTAGTTCCCATCCGCTCTCGATAAATTTGCGATGATACTCACTGTGACTGTACGAGCGACCGCTGCTCTGCTCTGGAGACCCGCCGGAGTTGTGGACGAGTGCAAGAAGCGGAAGCGCCGGACACAACGCGCACAGCGGGACCGCCGACACCGCTCGGTACGGATAGTGAGGAGGCCCCCGGGGAGCGCGAGTGATGGACACTGATTGGGACGCGTTACGAACCTCAGCGTTCTTGTTCCTTCTCCCTAGCTGCTCGCCCATTTTCTCCTCCTCCTGTTCACGAGAACGCTGCACACGCCGTTCGATGACCCCTAATGTCCGTCACTCCTGGTAAAGGCCGCGTCTCCGGCATCCCGACGCCCGGCAAGCCCAGCAGCATCCCTACCCCTGGCCTCAGGCCCCGCTCCACCTCCTCCGCCGCCAACCGCGCCCCGGCCGCGACACACGAGGACGAATTCATCAACAGAGCGTTCGTGGACGCCATCCGCGCCAATGACCCCGCTCAGCACCGCGGTTCTCGCGGCAGTGACCTCTCTTTCGCGTCCTCCATCTCGCCCTCCACATCTGCTTCATCCTTTGGCGCTCGATCACTCACCGCTAGTACTATAGCAGCGCGTCCGACCTCTGCCGCGTCCTCCTCGTCTGCGGTCAGCGCTGGGAACGTCAGGACACCGGCATCCTCGAGCGGGAGGGTCTCTGCGCGTCCGCCCAGCCGCCAGTCAGATGTCTTCACGCGGAGCGTGAGCAGGGCTGGTCGATCGTTCGAAGTGGACGATAATGTCCGGATCGAGTCCCTCGGCTTCGAGGGTATCCTCAGGTACCTCGGAGAAATCGAGGGCAAGCCTGGCCTTTGGGCTGGCGTCGAGCTCAGTGGCGGGTTCGCCGGCAAGGGTAAGAATAATGGCGCTGTAGCTGGGTGAGTGAATTTTCTATGAAGACTCGCAGACAACCATGTTCTGGCGTACTGTTCATTCTACCTGCGCTTTCTGCACTCCCTGCGCCGTGGTCTTGCAGTATACTCACTGACGCGACCTCAATGAAGACGACAATATTTTACTTGTCCACCGAATTGTGGCGTCTTCGTGGCCTCCACCAAATTGTCCGCGCCCACCGTTGGGATATCCCGACCCTCCTCCGTTGCGTCGACCCGTAGCGGACGAATGACCCCCTCTTTCTCAGCATCCGGCAGGATGACTCCCTCCGCTCTCTCATCAATAGCAAATGGCCGCAGGACGCCTTCAGTATCCAACGGACGGGTCACCCCATCAATAGGGAACGGCCGGGTAACACCTTCGATAGGTAACGGTCGAGTGACGCCTGCCGCCTCGACTGGACGTCGTACACCTGGTATCCCTACCCCTTCAGCGCGTCCGCGTCCTTCGGCTACTACTGCACGGACATTGGTTACGCCCGGACGCACCACAAATGTGCAGACAAATATCACGCCTGGATCTCGCGCCTCGAAGTACGTAGGAATGACTGCGAAGCAGCTCACTTCGAGGACATCGACGGGGAGCCCTGCGCGTGGGACAGGGTCCGCTAGCCCCACAAGATCAACGGGTTTCGGCTCCCCTGTACATGCTTCCAGACAACTATCCTCTCCTACCCGTAGCCTCACCGGGTCTCCATTCAATACGCCGAAGGCCCTGGGCATGGCAAGGCCATCCGGTATCGGAATAGGCATGCCGTCCACTACCCCCTCCAAGACCCGCCAATCACTCAGCAATACACCGCGCGCACGTATACCGAGTGCGATAGCCATGCCCCCACCAGCATCTCCGTCTAGTACTACACTTTCAAGCCGTTCTGTATCCCTCAATGGCCCCCAGACACCCATAGATCCACTACCACTCACTGACCTGGAGTCGAACGGCAAGGCTCTGCAGGATCGCATCGCGGGACTTCTGTCCAGCAAGACACCGTCGAGTCCACGACCAGAGTCTCGCACGTCGTCGGGTGGCTCCACGCACTTGGTCGAGATGCAGAGTCAGCTAGAGCGCATGCAAGCGCGCTTGGACGCTGCAGAAGACGAGAGTCAACGACTGCGCACCCGGGCGGATGGTGCAGAACGGGAGGCCTCGCAGCGAATCGAGTCGCTCGTCGCAGAGCGCGACAGGCATGCCACGCGGGTCGCAGAGCTCGAGGCAGCCGCTCGCACTGCAGAGCGTGCGCTCACGGAGCGCGACGCGACGGTGGAGGCACTCCAGCGCACGGCGGATCAAGCTGCGCGGGACGTCGACAAGGCGCGGGCGGACGGCGAAGCCCGACTGCGCGACGTGCAGAGCAAGCTCGACGATCGTGACGCCCTTATCGTGCAGCTCAAGGAGGCCGTTGAGGTGCGCGAGGGCGAGCAGAGCGAGAGCGCGGCCGTGGTCAAGGCGAAGAACACGGAGATCGCACTGCTCGAGGCGCGCGTCGAGAAGGCATACGCAGAGCTCGAGGAGGAGCGCCGTGAGCTCGGTGCGCAAGTCGATGAGCTGCGCCGGGCAGGTCAGGTACGTTCCATGCTATGTGCCGATCGCGCAGTCTGGCTGATCGAACTGTGCAGGAAACGATCGCGCTGTACGAGGAGCGCCTGAGCGCGGCGGACAGCCGGAGATACGAGCTCGAGGATCTCGTCGCTTCGCTGGAGGAGCAAGTGCGCAACCAAGCGCGTCCGCCCTCCCCCGGCACCATGGCGCGCCAGGCAACGTCAGCCGCGGAGATCGACAACGAAATGCTGCGGGACCAGGTCTCGCACCTGCAGAAGAAGCTCGCTGCGGTCGAAGACACGCTCGAGGACCTGCGCGCGGCCAACGAGCGCGACGAGGTCGCGGTACACGAGCGTATCAAGCGCTACAAGGACCGCGAGGAGGCGATCCGCAAGGAGCTGGCCGAGCGCCGGGAGGAGTCGGAGCGCGTGCTGAAGGCGGAAGAAAAGGCGCGCGACCGCGTGGAGGAGATGGAGGAGGCGCTCCGCGAGAACACCGTTGCCTTAGAGAATGCGCGCGCGGAGATCGAGACGCTGCGAAACGAGATTGCGGTAAGTACACAGACGCGACGCACGCTCCGAGGAACTCTGGCTCATCGGTGCCACTGTATAGGATCTGGAAGGCCTTGCAGCGACGGCGAGCACGTCTGCGGAGAAGCTTGCCGAGCTTGCGCCCCGTGCCAACAGCGAGCGCGCGAAGCTTCAGGAAGAGATTGCGGAGCTCAAGCAGCAGCTTATGCAGGCGCGGGCGATCAATGGCGACCAAGGCGGTCTATCAGACGAACTATACTCGTTACAAGAAGACAGGCAGACGGTGAGTATTTACCGTCCCCATCACTACGGACCCCTGTTCTAAATCCGCCACAGCTTCAAGAGTCGCTCAAGCGCACGCAGGCCGAGCTTGCGGACGAGCGAGGTGTGGTCGAAGAGCTTCGTGCACTCGCGAACGGGCGGGCAGCGGAATTGGAGCTTGTCCGCAAGAAGCTCAATCGCGACGCCCCCGTCAACGGCTTCGAGTCTCGGCCACCGCCGTCTCCATCGTCGAAGCACGATTTGGCCGCGGCACGCGATGAAATCACCGGGCTCAAGTACGTAGCTCGCTGTCGGGCAAAATGCGTTCATCTGACGCATCCGTTCGTAGGCATATCGTGCAGGAATTGCAGAAGGAGAACGCGGCGTCTGCACAGCGGCTGAGGTCCCTTGAGGCGGAGAACAAGCTTCTGCTCTCGGAGACAGAGCAGCTTCGCGAAGTAAGTCCATGTTTGGACTGGTGGTTGTCAATTCACTCGCTGACACGTTATAAACAGGATATGAAATCGCTTGAAGAAGATGTGGAGCGGAGTATCGCGAGAGAAGAAGCGATGCTCTCCGGAGAGAACCCGCCCTCGCCGGGGACACCGTCACTGGATGACATTCAGGCGCTGCAGCGTAGTTATAAGGAACTCAAGACCAAGTATGAGGTATGTAGAGTTCCGCCATGCAGCGAATACTCAGCTGACAATGGCTACAGACCGAGGTCGAGCAGCTTCGCAAGAGGCTTGCAGATGTTGAGATGAAGAGCGCGCGACAAATTCATGATGTAGGTCCATTGCCCGGTGAACACGGGACTGATACTGAGAAGATCACGCAGCTCAACAAGGAGATTGGCGAGCTTGAATCGCTTATTGAATCCAAGGTACATGGATCGCCCAGCGTATCAAGTAGTATGGAGGCTGATATCACTCATAGATCTACCGAGAGGACGAGCTCGAACGGGAAGTCGAGCGGCTCAGGGACAAAGTCTCTCGGAGTCAAAGGAAGTCCTCCAAGACGGACCTGCCCGAGGATCCTATGCATCGTCCTGCGTCTTCGGCGTCGACATTATCGTCCAACCTGGGCCAGACCGGCGAAGAGGTTTGCGAGATCTGCGAGAGGCCGGGCCACGATATCTTTACGTGCGACCTTCTCAAGGAGGACGCCCCGTCGCGGATGTCAAGCAGGCTGAGCACTGTGTCAACGGACGACATGTCCGAAGTCATCTGTGAGGACTGCGAGGAACGCGGGCATACCGCCGCGAACTGCCCAAACTCGCTGGACGTTTTCTAGGCGCCCCATTGCCCGCTTATAGTTCTATACCTCTCATTGCTGTCTCGCTTCCCCCTCTCTGGACCGTCTCTCCATATTCTCGGCCAAACACAGACTGTAGCAAATGCATCACACCGTTCTTTCTTCCGGCGCATACTCATTATAAGCACCCATCGCTACTTTCATTCATCGCTCCGTAATCGTCACATTGTACTCATGTGCGGTCCCCCGCTCGTTCGACCGTCGTCACCCCGTATTCCGCAGCAATATTTTGGTTAGCACGTCTCCCAACGTAATTTACATACCCAGATGTTGCAGTTCTCCGCCGGTATACCACTACTACTCCCTCCTATGGCATGCGTTACTCCTCACGGTTCCCGGTGTGAACTTAGAGTCGCCTGGCATGTTACTTCGCAATATTCAGGGACTTATGGGAACATGTACAGCGTCCAAAGCTATTGCTTATGTATGTCTCGGGTCGTGCGAAGGTCACATTCAAAGACCCTTTATACGTGGGAGAGGGTTTCTTGCGCCGAAGCGCCGCCGGTGCTCGGCCCACAGAAGTCGTCATACCGGCACACATATATGCACAACTTCCTTCATTCCCTCTAAAGTCACATATGAGTTGGCCATGGTTTCGTAGTAGTCCATTCTCCGCGCAAATGATACGTGTAGAAATCGCCCTCAGTCCGACAACTATTGGCCCAGGAGCCATCTAGGAGCGCCGGATGACGCCAATCGTGGGCTGCAGGCTGCCCTGGGAGACGTGAGAGATGTCCACCAGGACGAGGTCTTGCAGCTCCACGATCTTTCCCTCTTGGGACCGCAACGGCCTCCCCTCCTTCGATGTGGCGGCCTAACCCCGAAACATCCAATGTGAGCGTTGGCGTCGAAGGATTCTCAGTAAATCTTGATCTTCGCTCACCATGAACTGCACCATCTCCTTCGCGATTACGTTCGCCAACTTTCCTCGCGTGTGCGAGGTTTTGTTGGCTGTGTGAACGTGGACCTGGCGAGAGTATCTCTCCCAGCCGGGGAACTGTATTTCGAGCCCGCATGCCAGTGAGCCGCGAGCAACAGCTGCAAATACGCCGAAGGACGTACTAGGAATATGACTGTCATCTTCTGCTTGAGCTGAACTTGAAAGGCTTGTCCATTAGGATCGACTAGACCCTGCACGTCCTCCTGGAAGGCGCTTTGGAGGTTGAATCCGTAGAACTGTATAACAGGGTGCAGTCTAGCCGCACGCAGGCCTCCTTCGTAGAGCGTCTGCGGTAATATCTGGCGCGACCGCGAAGAGCGCACCGTTACATTTTAGCCGAGGGGCGGTGGACGATTTGGATATAATCTTCATACCGTGTATTGATCCCCCGAAGCGGAGGTATATACGGGGCATTGGCCGGAGGATATGGCCCGCGAAGTGTGATTTGTTCCGCCGTTGGCCCACTGCCAGGCGGGGATAAACGGAGGTGCCAGGTGATTTAAGCTGGTACCATGTACGGGGTCCCAGCGATAGCGCGCGTCCAGCGACTGTTGGCCTTGAGGGTCGTTTCCGAGTTGACGCTGGGAAACCCTTTGAGCAAAGGCGTATTGTGTTGAAGTTCGAGTGAGCCGACGAGTACTAGAACAAAGTGTATTGCGTTTGGCTGAGCTCTGCAAACGCATGAAGCTGAGCGAGTGGCGTACATCGGGAGGTAGATACTGTAACTTCCCGACCAAAGCGGCGGGTCACAGGTCACAACGACCTCCGCCGCCCCGCATTTGGGGGTCTGTCCCGCGTCACAGCGGCTTCCGCCGCTTTTCGCCTGTGGTCCGGCGCCGGTCACGCCCCTAAATGGCATTTTTGGCGGCCCTGCGGGGCCGCGCGCCGCTTTTCGTACCGGATGGTCACGGTCACCACCGGTCGCGCCGCTTTTTGGGCAGCGCCGCTTCGTATCCGGGCGGTCACACCCCAAACCTCCGCCGGATTGGTCGGGAAGTTACAGTATACTACGTGCTGACTAATCGATACCATATACGGATGTACCTACGAGACTGTCCGATCCCAAATTCCAACATATTGATCACGGGCAAGTGTCTGTGGCAGGTCATGGTGATACCTGTCGGTTCCTTGCCGCCCATAATACGGCACAAATGGCGCGTGCTCCTGTTATATTCAGGAGCCCAAACTACATCAGTACCACGCAAAGCGATCTTGTTTTGTTCGGCCGAGCATAGACTCACCAGGGCCGGTGATATGGGGTCGCCGTAATTATGCATCGCTCCAAGGTAAGAGTGGCTCGACCCGGGAAACACTGTGGTCATGGCGTGTGCCGGGAAGGTATCGTGGGGAGAGAATGGGATGTCTTGTTGGAATTCGGGATTGGACAGTCTCGTAGGTACATCCGTATATGGTATTGATTAGTCAGCAGCTAGTATATGTACCTCCCGATGTACGCCACTCGCTCTTCATGCGTTTGCAGAGCTCAGCCAAACGCAATACATTCTGTTCTAGTACTCGTCGGCTCCCTTGTACTTCAACATGTCTTGCGAGTCCAAGACAGCCGTCCTATCGGCTACACCGTCGCGCTGCACAATATCACGGTTGAAATGAGTATTCGCATAGTCAAGGCGCTAGGAACGTACCCCGAGCTGCTGCTGCGACATGGCTGGTAAAATATCGGAGGCACTCCCCTCCGACGGCGAGTGAGCGCTATCAGAGTCAGCGGATTCCCCGAAGTACAAAAATTCTTCTTGGCGCTCAGGTTCCATCAGGATAGGGGCGAGGTGTTCGGTGAAGATGGGGACCTCAGCCATCGGTACTTAAAGAATGAAGTTGCCTGTGGCTGTGGTGCCGGTGAGCGTTTTCTATCGTGCACATACCGCGAGCTGCCCATTGCACTGGACGCTCGCTCTATTTCTGCCCCCATATCGATCCGCCAGAGAGGAAGACTCACGCGCCCTAGGTGACGCCGTGCTCACTGGCAGTGATTTAGCGATTACATTCAAGTTGACCCGCAGGTCACACTTGGCAGTTGCTGGGAGGCCGCGATGTCTGGGGTGCCACTGGCACGATGTTATCGGAGCGTCGGTAGGCTGTACACCGCCTATCTTCAGGATCCGAGTGAGTTCTATGGCATGGCGATACGTGAATGTTGAGATGAGCGTCGTCAGTTCCGAGTCGGCGCACGACATGACTGGGAGACTATGGCGTTCTCGCGATTCCGATACCGCGATCGCCTTTGGAATCATGATGTTTCACTTCTGTCCGTTGTGTGCGGGATTCTTTGGGCGCAAGTGCGCAGTGCCTCCCGGTAGATTTGACTCCGAATAAGGGCTAAGGCGACACACTGAGCGCGGTCGCTCACGAAGGGGGTCTATGGAGGTGAGCCTAAGAGACAACAGGGACATGCGGTCGAAAGGGGGAAGAACTCACCTGGGAACATAAACAGTGTACATGTAACCAGTGCCGGCGAACTTTTGCGTGTATGTCCGGAGCAGCCAGGTTCATATGCCGACCGCATCATTGGCCTCAACGCAGACAGCGGGACCAACTCAAGATCCCACCGCCTGACCTTGCTCCGCACATCCAAGAACGCACGGTTACAAGGCGGCCCGGTGCACGACAGACTTCTGTTCGCCTGCTAAGCGAAAGCTAAATTCGTGGGATGTGTCATAGCGTTCAGTGAGGCTGGCTGGGGATCCGCGCGTAATATGGCTCACACATACATCCGAGCGCCCCTCTGTGACTGAGTTCAAAGACTTGGGGTTATCAAGGGCACTCTTCCCCGCCCCCGGGACGCGGCAATAAGCACTTCGGGCCCGGTGCGACCCTGAGCCGCACCCTCGATTGTGCATCGCCGTATAGTTCTCAAGGCACATGCTGTAAAGTCGAGGGCTCGAAGAGCTCTTTGGGGACCCTTCTTGACGCTCAACCACCACCTGCTGCTTTTTTCCCACGATACATCCTCATAGGGGGAGGATCGTTTCGTGCGGGTCTTTAGCACACTGGGGCTCGTCTTTAGTACTTCTACGGATATGGTCAGATCTCAGCCAGCATGATGGGTGCTCGAGCTCGACCGCCGCCATCGAGGCCGGCCAGCACGCCGCCGACGCCGCCTACGAGGATAGGCGCCCACGACAGCGCACCAGCCAAACCGACCAGAAAGACAGCAAAAAAGACGATACTCACCTCACAAGAAGCTTGGATGGAAGCCGAGAAGCTCGTACCGGACCTGGGAGCCGCGATGGAGTTCTTACTGGGCCATGACCTGATCCCGGGAGGCGACAACGCCTTTTCAAGCGAATCGCTGATCTCGGGCATGCTGCATCTCGCCTTCTCGACGCCTGGAGATCTCGCCAAGCGGGGCATCCTCGCTTTCGCACACCTCACTAAGGGGGTCCTCGCCCACGACGCCCAATCCGCGGTCAGCGATGCTGTCGTCGAGCGCGCGGAGGGCCAGCTGCGCCTCCGGCTCGACCACCACACTTCCCACGTTGAAGATCGGCTCGACGAGTTTACGGAGATGATCGGGAGGATGAAGATAGAGATGGAAGGGGGGTCGGCCTGCCTTCGGGCGGCTTGCGAACGGGTGAAGGAGGCCGAGAGTGCACTTGTTGCGGCCCGCGAGGGGATACAGGAGACCGCACAGCTGGGTGCGCGCCCTGGTGAGCCTGTACCCGCCGTCTCCACGCTAACTATCGAGACAGCGCCGGTGCGTGTGCGCCGCGCGGCCACACTCGCCGACCTGCTGCAGCGCCAGGTTCTTGTCCGGGGGGCGACGCTCAGTTTGGAGAGCGGTGAGCCCCTCGGGGAGGGCATGCTGAAAGACTGCGCTCGGGAGGTGCTGGACGAGATGGACAGGGCGGGGCTCACAGCGCCCGGGGGGAGCACGGTGGAAGCAGCCAAAATTCTGCCCCACGGGGACACGGTGTTCACGATGTCAAGTATCGAAGCAGCCCGATGGCTCCTCAAGCCCACGGTAGCCAAGCCTTTCGCACGCAAGATGGGTATGGCGGCGCAAGTGGTCGAGTGAACATACAGACTGGTCGCAGAGCGAGTCCCTGTCACGTTCGACCCGCACGATCAAGCCGCCCTGCGAGCCATTGAGGCGGCACATCTCCTGAAGCCCAACGCCATCGCCCGCGCCGAATGGATCAAACCGGCGGAGCGCCGCTTTGCGGGGCAGCGCACGGCATTCTTGATGCTCACGGTGACTGGCATTGATCAGGCGAACACAGCACTGAAGGGTCTTCTGATTGCAGGGCGCAAGATTCTAGTTCGGCGGGACATGGACGAGCCGAAGCGGTGCGCACGCTGTCAAGCATTGTCATGCACCAAACTGGTTTGGCACATGGGCCTACCGGAACAGTCCAGGGTATGCCAGCAATAGGAGCACCCTCACCAGACAGACCTAGGACCAGAGACCAACCTAGCAGACACCAGAATGCTTAGGACTAGCCCAGAGGTCAGGAGACAGTTCCGGAAGGTACCGGAAACTTCAGGAACAGGAGGAACCCAGCCATCAACACAGGATCATCTGCAGTCATGGAGAACATGCTAGACTACTTCAGCTGACCAAGGTGCATAAATTGCCAGAAGGTTCTAGAAGGTTCCAGACAATGTGCACATGACAGCCTAGCATCAGAGAGCCAGGGAACACCAGGATATTCCAAGGAGACAGGAGGAAGAACATGCCGGAAACCCACGGAATGTTGCGGAACATTGCGGAATATTGTGGAAACCACTGGAATACTCAGTGTTCCCCTTCAAGAATTCCCTGGAAACCATTCAGAACTCCTGGGAAACATCAAGAATATGTGGGGAAGGTTCTTAGAATGTTCTGGAAATCCCTGACAGGCTCAGGAAAAGGATGGATAAAGGAGAAGGAAAGGACTAGGAATGAAGGGAAAGTAGGAGAATAAGGGAGAATATTCTGGACATGGATTAGTCGTACTACAGACCTGCTTTGTAATGTACCATTTAGGATTCCCGCGCCCCTTGGCTCCAGGTAT